CTAATCAAAAATAATCGTGTACATACTACACAGAATGATATAGATATATTTAAAGAACAAAATAGCCGACTAAGAGTCTCGTGAGTGGTATGAAGTTTGGCAGCCATTTACCAAACAGGAGGGCCAATGCCAAATTCTATGAAGTATGCCTATTATACTGTAATTTTAGAAAACATTATGAAAAACGTTGATAAAATTCAGTTTATAACAGATTTGTAATTATTATACAAAATTGATACTGCTCAATGTTCGTTGGTAGGTCACTGTTGTAGATGAGTATAGTCAGGAACGTAGGATACACAGGATAATCTAGATTATATACTGTATATACGCAACAATAAATCATCGCAAAAGTAAAACGATTCTGAGCGGAGTATTATTAGTCGTCTTTTTCTCCTCGTTGCCCCAAGGTAACCAAAAAATCAACTGCAATAAAAAAAAAAAGACGTCCTAGGATAATGGGGACGGGCGCAGCCACTGTTATAGATAATTTAATGTATACTTGTAAGCAACGATAAATCATTGATAACGAAAAAACGATTCTGAGTGGAGTTTAGTCGATAGTGATGCTTTGTCAATAACATATAATATATCATATCGTAGAAAAATAATTAAATAAGCTTTCTATATTTTCTTTAATAATATTTGTTTTATGTTGTACCGATTTTGCCAATTTTCCTACGTTTTTCTCGGCTTTCCCGTGTTTTATCTCGGTTTTTCACATTTGCTGAGAAATCTCCTGAAAATCGAAAAATGACCTCACTAAAGTATCTCCCTAGTGTAATCTATACTTAGAAATCCGTACAAGTATTCTGGTAGAAAAGTTATTAACAAATAAAAAAAAAAATAATAATAATAAAATTGCCCTCTTGGTAGGTATAACGACTACGTGCGTTGAGTAAATCTGTTCAAACTTTAGTCAACTTTACTTTTGTGCAGTTGTTCTGTGACGGTAGAAACCGAAATTGCGTAAACAACTGTACACACTCATAACGATCAAATTGCAACGATTGCAATGCAGTGAAAATTATTATACATTGCCTTTTACAAAATATGATTAAGTTACAATGATCGGGGTTCATTTTAATATGGTGACATTATTTAAAACGTACGGAATGTACGATATGATATGATATATTCTAGAAAAAGGCGCTAAAACTATGTATTTATAGACGTTTCGTGTGTACGACTTCGAAAATATTATACGGCTTTCGCGTGTTTACTGTGCGATCCGACAGAAGTGTGAATGTTTCTGTATGTACGCGTATGGTATAATATTATGTAGGCCTCGCAATATTTCACTTATAAACAATGATTCGTTCGTTCGCTCGCGCGCATATTCTATAACAAATATAATGTATAGAGGTGTAGGTAGGTACTTATTAAGTGAAAATCGACAAACGCATAACAGCGTAGCGGGCAATATAATATTATTCCCGGTTAGAATCGTGAAAACGTATTTTCTTCGGTGTGTGAATCGACAAGATGATATTGGTTAATATTATAAAATATAATAAGTTCCAAACGATTCGGCTGCGATTCTCCGACGAATTTCGTACAATAACACCGTCGATTCGTGTACGGGACTTTATATATTGTAATGACAATAAACGCTTTCGACGAAAACTCATGATGTCTCTTCGCGATATTGCATTTTTCATTATGTTAAAAAATATTCACGAATATAGAAATCAATCATCGACAATAATAATTTCAAACGACATTGACGGCGTATACTGCCCATATAATATATACCTATATATATATATAAAAAACGTTCTATAAAATGTTTCACGAACAAGAAGACCTACAGGTATTGTCGTGTAGGTACCGACTGTCCGACTATCTGTAATTTATAACAGTAAAACCGTACTACACGTATATACAGGATTCATATTAATTTAGTCTCGTTGACAGCGGTGAATATAATATAGTCGGAGAATTCACAACGATATAATATGTATATATGTATATTATAGTCCGGCATGAAAGGGGCACAGGATTTTCAGAACCGGTGAATACGTCGCAAATGCGTGTGACACCAAATGGCTTATGCCGAATCGACAAAATATCAAATTAATGGTGGAGGCGGATTGAAAGTCGATGGATTTTTTGTTTACAAGTTCGCGCGGATAATATTTCAGACGGTGTTTCTGCCGCGACTCTATCCGCAAATTCAAACTAAAGTTATACACACTAAGTACCGCAGTGGTATGTTTAACGTCGAAACCTAACATTTCAGTATACCTGTGCCCCGATAAATTGGAATTTTATGATATTGCCTAGCTCAAAATTCGAAATTTATATTATTCTAAAGTCTCGGGACTTTTTTTTTTTTTTTTTTAGTATTTACCGTTCAGCGATAAATTGTTATCATTATTATTGTTTCTGTATTTTACTTTTTAAAGTTGTAAGTAATTTCCCTAAATTTCACAATTTCATATGAGTTGAGTGTGCTATTTTTAATCTTGTTTGATTTTTCCGATTCGAGCACTGCATTTGAGGTCTCAAACAGATTGTCGCACCTCAATACGGTTCACATATGCTACTGCACACCTACTTTAACGTGTTGATGAATATGTATAAAATTAATATTATATAAGAACGGACGAAAATTACTGCGGTGTTTGTTAAAAAAAAAAAAAAAACCATCGGGGCTCATAATGATAACAGTATAATGTGTACCCAAAAAAGAAATTTCGAGAAAGTTAAAACTTACCGGAACACTGCGATTCATTTACAGCACGTGTGCTGTAATAACAATAATAATTAATATCCGTTTTGCATTTTAAACATCAAAAATCATTATGCTACGTAGAGTTTAGAAGCCCGAGAAAACAGTACCTATTATCACTCGATGACCGTATGCCTAAACGGCATCCATATTTTGTGTGAATATTTTCTTTGCGCGTTTCAAAGCGTTAAACCTTTTGACCGACTCTCATCTCGATTTAAAGGTTACAATAAATTTAATTTTCAAAATTTTTATTTCCCTGCTTGTAGGTATACGAAAAAAAATAAATCAAATTTAAAAAAATATTAAGTACCATATAATATATTAGGTAGGCAGGTACTATATTTTTTACAATACAATTATTATTAAAGCGTATAGTTGTCATACAACGTGCCATTTAATAATACAAACATCGCATAATAATTACAAAAAAAAAAAAAAAAACAAAACGATCTTGTTATACTTGTGTGCGTTATGAACAATTTGATCGTCTCTATAAAATATAAAGTGTTATGTTGTTTTCATAATAGTTTACGAATAACGTGAACATGTCTACATAGTAGGTACGTTATTATAATAATTACCAACACAAATTAGAAATTATTACAGATGAAACTGCAGTTTAGATGGATAACAAAAAAAAATAATAAAAATCTCACCACTGTAAAACATATGTAGTTCTGCACTACCGAGATATAAATACTTAATTATTTAATTGGATAGTCAAACTGACATTATAATAATATTATTATTAAAATACGCATATGAATGCAGCGTACATCCGTAATTAAATCGCCATTTCTTTTTCTTTTTTACATAATTTACAATTGTTTTATTTTGTTCTTGGCATTCTTTTTGAGCATTTTTTTTTTTGTTTTTTGAAAACTCTTTTTTCGAATATCAAGGTGTATCTTTTTAGAATCATCCCTAGCAAAAAAGTGCATGTGCATTTGTTATAACTCATAAGCAGGGCTATCAATTTAATGCATTCAAAATCAACTATCAAAATATATGCATGCATAAAAACACTAAAAACGGACGAAATATGCAGTATAAATGCTCTTGAATGTATTAAAATATTATGAAAAATCAAAAAAAAAAACAAACGAATTGGGTAGTATCATCCCTGTGAGAGGGAGTGGCTATTTCTCCGTCTTCTGTAAATAAATTCTTATCTGATGTTCCTATTGTGCTCCAAAAGGCAGTTCAATTTAATATTATATATTTAACATTTTGTTGTATAAATCTGATAACATAAAAACAGTACTATAACATAATAGTTTTAATTAAAAACTATGTTTTTTCACTCATAAATTTCTACTTAATTACCTAATTCGGCGGCCCTGAAAACTTATATTCCGACCGGGTTTTTTTCTTTTAAATTTACCACTGCTAATCAGATATTACGATTAAACAGTGGCGTACTTAGGATTTTGGCAGAGAGGGAGGTATTGAATTCGGAAACCGTGTCATATTGTTCGAGTATAATGTTAACCTATTAGTCTAAAAAAAATGATCAAATTTTAATACAAATATTTTCGTTGACAATTTATAATTCGTTCTGCCCTAAAATTATGATTCAAATCGAATAACTAGGTATTATTGTAATTATTATTAAGTTATTCAATATTTGGGTTCTAATTTGACTATCTAACCTCGCATAGTGGTTTGGACATATTTCTAAACAACGGATATGTTTAGTTGTTTTTTTTTTTGGTACGGTAGGTATAACAGCTAGGTATCAACGCGTTTTTTTGACTGAAAAGCATTGAAGTTTGAATTTAAAAAAAAAAAAAAAAAAAACACGTAGACGTATAAAAAATAACGAATAAGTACTATACGAGAAAAAGGCCAAGGAGGGAGGTATTCTCTCTCCCCTTATTATTAAATACGTCACTGCTCGACTTTAAGCACATATATGTATAATTGTAATGAATTCCGTTCCTATACATATCATGAGCGTTATTGTTGTCCCGTCAATCGCGTCGTAAATCCGTATACAATATTATATTTGTATATTTCATTCATAACCGTACGCCGTCGTGGTCGTTGGCCATATCGTTTATTATGGACGTATAACAGACGTACGGGTTTACAGTAAGTACTTCTGGTGGTAGATATCCTCGTATTATTTATACATATATATATATTATATACGAGCCACGTGAGAGAGCAGGGGAAATTAGTTAATGAGTGAAAGAAAGCATCGTCGGTGCACCGACTGCCGGAGTACCGCGCACGGCATTGGGTTAGTCTTCTGCGGCTTGTTGCGAGTACGCTACTATCACATTCTAGCTGGTCGGTACGCCCGCCGTCGCCGTTGTTTGGTAGAAAGTGAAATGTGATTAACGCAACGCAAAAATACATACTTTTTTGTTTAACTTTTCAAAACTAAACCGAAATATTATCGTTATTGTTGTTATTGCGATAAGGCCGAACCGACACCGTGCATCTCCTAACGTTATCGACGTTTATTGACCACATAATATTTTATTGAAATCGCAATAAATAATATCGCAGTGTTTTCGGCGTGCGTCCGCCAGAGGATTATAATAAAATCGAATTTTAACGGTAAGCTATTCGATCGCCTTAACCGGCACATTATATATACAAATCAATAATAACCGTACTTTTTTTTTTTTACGGTATAGGAGGTACCCGCAGGTACTATAACACAATACTTATCCAAATTGAAATATTACAAATAATTGGACTTTCGGACGGAAATATAAATATTCGGGTGTCCTATGCTCACGTTTTTATTTCCGTCTGTTTTAAACTGATTTCTGTTTAACTGACGATTCTTATAATGTTCAGTTTCTCGTCTAAATAACAATATCGTTAATACCGATATTGTTAATGTCGTAATATACTATTAATCGTTTCGGCTAACAATTGTACGTATAACACGCAGTAAACCCGCGGTCACGAGCATCTTCGGTATCTTTGCAGTCCCGGGGAAGCAGGGCTTAAGCTAATTTCCGTTTTATAATTTTGTCATATTATGTAATTTGATTCGCTTCAATTTTAGTCCGAATGGCATACGTGCAATACTGGTAATTAAGATAATATCTCAAGTCACTATACGATCATCGATTAAATATATACACCTATATACTTGCTACAACTTACACTTTAACTAATGCATCTATGATGCACTTTTTGTCCGGCGAAATAGACACAATTCGTATTATTACGTATACGGTTATAAACATTTATATAATTTTCGCGTGTAGAAACGTTTAAAACCCATTTGAAAACTATACGTGTACCTATAAATGACCGGATCCCTTCTCCCAGAGAACTTGTACGGACCGAAGACATACCTACAGATGTACCAAGAGTAAACATTACAGTACTGTTATTATTTTTATTATGCCGACGGCGACACGCCATACGGGGATTTATTCGAGATATTTTACGATTTTTTTTTTTTCTCTTCTAATTTCCATTGACGCGGATAATGTTCTAATATGATACATCGTTTGCGTGTAATAATTCCGTATAAAACGTTACGCGGTTCTGCGATGCGGTATAATATCATAGGCGTAACCGTATCACTATAGCTGCTACCCGTACACATACAATCACTATAACAATAAACGTAAACATCGGTGTTAATAAATAAAATAGGTGTATGTTGTTTAACAAATTTATCCGAGTAGGTTTACTATATAATAACGGTGGTATAGGTGTTGTATAGCTATGTACGATATATAATAATATTATTTAAATGTTTTACAATAATATACGGATACCGGTTTTCAGACGTCTCGGGAAAATACGATTATAATAATAATATAATGTAGGTATAGAAACCGCGGGGTGTAAACAATTGAAACGGAAACCAGTTTAAAGAAAAACCATTTTTTTTTTTTTCTAGTAGTTAGTTTATCACGTGAATATTATGATGGGAGAATACACGTTTGGATCGTAAAAAAAAAAAAAAATGAAAATAAAAAAAATCGTTTTAATATATCGTGTTACGACGGGGACCAATAATGTTATCATAGTAATATATTACAACTATCGTGTTTCGTAATGTATTTCGCCTCGCGTGACAACCGCATAATAATATATAAACACGTTATTATATAGTAGACCTATCTAAACTTTGAAAATTATCGTTCGTTTTTAAACGTTCCTTTAGCCTGTAATGTGCGAGGACAGTGGCGTGTCTACGAATTTTCCACGGGCGGGGAGGGGAATTATCGCGAATTGCTCGTGCACCCCTATAATATTTAAAATTATCGTATACGCTTGACGGTACAGTAACCTCTCGTTACGAATAAACAAATCGAAATATATTAATTCTTTTCTTTTGACATAATCGTTCAGTAATATTAATGGCCTCTCTCAAGTGATACTTTTCCCTCTACACGATTTACCAAATAATAATAATAATTTTAAGTTTTTTTTTGCTTATTAAAAAATATCTAAAAAAAAAAAAAACTGAAACCTAATACATACTTACATGATACATTAAAAACATTAACAGTCAAATAATATTTATACACACCTACGCATCATATACTGTACCTGTATAGTACTTCTGAAAGAATAATTTGTATTCGAGAGGGTTGAGGGTTGGAAAGTGTTCCGGTCCTGTATTTGTGTAAAGGTACATAAAACGCGACACGCAAACTTGTTTGCAAAATGCGATTGTACACTTTTCACAAATGAGATGTTTACCCGACAATTTGATTAAGAGTATTGTGTCGGTGATTGATTTTGTTTTCCGAAGAGATTAATAATATTTTTTAAAAACAAATAAGCGATTGAATTTTCTCTCTTCAATATTGGCGTTTACCGTTACGTTCGTAATTTAAAATAAATGAATTACTAATTATAGAAGATTAAATATGAACAACACAGTATCAATTTTTAATTTCATTTGTTACACATCCGTCGTTTACATCATATTGTGTAAAAAAAAAGAAATCCATTTACGTACCCCGAATCGAATATGAATAATATCGAAAATAAATTACGTAATTTGAATTATAAACAGACAGATTAGATTGTGAAAAAATAATTAATATATTGTATTGTCCGACAAGGGTAGTACAAAACAAATACATAATTCAATAAATATTTTAATCAGTACTTTTTTTTTATTGTTTTTTAACTCTTAGAAATCATAAACAAACTTGTGCAACATCTAATAGTAATAATAGATAACAATAAAATTAAAAAAAAAAAAAATACATGAAATACGAATATTTGTTTTGTGTTTTGTAGTAAAATAATAGATTGTAGCGTGATTATAGAACGACAATGTCATGGATTAGTATACCTATTGTATGTTTTACTGCTACCTTGCTCTTTATTTATTTCAATTATCACGAATGTTCGTGACATTGGTAGAACCATCCAGCAAAATGTAAGTGAAAGTGTGAGAAACTCATGATTACTGAGTGTATATTTACAATGTCATTAGGTTTGAACGTTACGCTGAAAAGTCCAATGCCCTGATGAAAATTTATTGTACAGTTATTTTTCAATTTATCTGTTTTCCAATAACCGATTCCCGTACTTTTAGTTTCCATTTCGGATTTTATAATATTCCCATTCCAACACATGCACATACTGTTTTAATCAGATAGAAGACGAAACAGCGCGTTTCACCGTTGGGACCTGTTTAGAATAAGTGTTGCAGAAGGGAAAGTAAACTTCGATTCTAAGGTCAATGACACGCGGTACGTTTAAGTGTAATGAAATAATCATATAGTAGTGTTTTATTTCTTTCGACGTGAGCACATCATATATAGCGTTATGAATGAGTAAACCATTAGGTGAAACATATAATAATCGTTCAAATTTCCAATAAATTTCCAGTGCATCATCATTCTGAATACTTGAGTACCTATATAGATAATAGTAATGGAAAATGTCTACAATTTTATTGTTGAGTTTAAAACGGTTTTGCTGGATACTTAAGTTGCAAACAATTATTGAGGACAAACTCATTAAATTTTTAAAGCAAATTAATATTTATCAATAGTTTAATGCTAAACAATGAACATATAGACAGGTATTTAGAGTGACAATATTATACTTGCAGAAATGAACATATGTCATAGCTTATAAATGGTATTCTGAATATTATAATATGCATAATACGTACGTGTATATGTTTGACCTATTTAAAAAAAAAAAAAAAAAAGAACGCGGAATAAAAGTTTAAATAAATTCACTAGCTTTGAGTTTAAAAAAGCGCAGTTTTTGACTTTGTAGTAAAGTATACTTTTTTTTTCAGATGTGGAAAATAACTACAGTATTGTTGTTTATAATCCCTATCGTCGTCAATTCCACTTCCGATAACAACAATGTTCAAATGACAAGAACGTCTATAAAAGTAGCCAGAAATCTAGATCCTAATGCCATGGAAACTTTGGAAATAAAAACTCGAACGGGAGACATTGCTACCATAGTTGTAAAAAAACGCGATGGCAGACAACAATCAACTAAGTCAACGCCCGAACCGAATTTGCAATTGGTATCAACGAGTAATGAAAATACACCGCCAATTAGAGTGCCCGACCCGGTCGTCATACGTTCGGATTCGGTTTATGTAAAAAACCAAAAGGAAGAGGATAAAAAATCTAGAAGTCTTTTCCACGTAGACACCGACGGTATACCCGTGATCACTGGGGTACGAGAACCAGATGACGAAAACGACACTCAAATTTGGAGAAACGCTAGGGTGATTAATGGTATATTAGTCCCGAATACAAATAAAACCAATCAACACGTTGCAGCGAAAGAAGAATTTAAACCCGCAGTCGCTCCAATGTTCAATGGCGTTTGGCAGGTATACAAAAAAAAACCTGAGCCAGAAAAGACACCACCGACGCTTAATAATGAACAGACATATTTTACGGCACAACGAAACACGTATGACGAAAAATACATGACCGACAAAATCCTCGGATACATAAAAAATATAAACGGAAACATTTTAGCGAAAGATCGTTCCTCCAGGATGTTTGAGCCACAAATGGAAGCTCGCGTGTTGCACGCGCCAAGTGTGAGCGTTTTTCCAAATTCTGCGGCGTACTCACCAAAAACGGTACCTAGGTTGTCATTTGAAGAAAGTGCAAGAACGCCCGTACTACAGTATGCTCATCCAGAATTAGGCGTTCAAGCTGCAAAATACGAGCCCCCGGCAGCCCCGGCAGAAGAAACGCAGAGGGACGGCAGAAGACAACAAGCACTTTCGTATTTTGGTCATGACATTCATGCGGACAGAAGTCCTTATGCGTTCGAACCTGGCTTAGAAAAAGAATCCAGAGTAAAAGTTCCTAAAAAATATTCTCCGCATTATAGTTTCCCCGAAAAACAGGGGAAATACGGCCCCAGTTACTATATTAACGATGACGCGTCGTTTTGGACTCTCGTGAAGAATAAAATGAAAACCAGTTTCGATCAAATGACGGACTTGACTAAGCCCGTGGTCGATCCAATAGTGGAAGCCACGCACAAAATAACAGGCAATTTAGGATTTGGAAACGGCAACCGAGAGCTTACCAATGTCGTGAAAGAAAAGCTTGGTATGGTGGCCACCCCGTCGGTATTGCTGCCAGCATTAGGTTTAGTAGCCGGAGGTGCAGCTTTAGGACTTGGCGCAGTGGCGGTAGGGAGGTTAGTGAATTTAATATTGTTTTATTAGTTACAGACATGTATAGAGTTATAGAGATATTAAAACACGGTATAGCATTACACAGCTTTTTTCATTGTATAAAATGTATAATGATTTTAATCTAATAACGATTTTTTCGCGAGGACATTTAAAATTTATTTCGATTTGAAATCCGAACGTCGAACACTTAATACTTAATTGTTTGTGCGTTGTCCATTTAAAATTCTTTTGAAAAATCGTATTAAATATGAAATCGTAATGTTATGATAATATTCGTAAATATCTGATAAGGATGACAAATTCGAAGAGGTACGTAATATATTATGCTACGCATAAACAACAATAGCGGCTCAATAGTTCATTGAATTCGGTAAAATTACACCATATTTATTTACAAACACATAATATTATATCACACGTAGGTAAATCACGTGTGTATTATGAACGATAATGAGAGTGAACATGCAGTTTTTTTTCTTTTTTTTTTTTTCTTTGCATTTCCCTTTATGAAATATTATACACAGTCGTAATAATCTGAAATGTTGATGAGATGACGGAAAAACGTAAAAGAAAAAGTACAAAAACATAAATACCTACGTGGTTTCACTTTTTCCAGATAATCAATTGAATAAATATTTAAGTGTACAATATATATATATATAGTGTACAGATACAGATAGATATAGTGTACATATATATATAAATATATTATTCCCTCTATAAACTGGACAACCGCAGAGAAATCGTGAAAAATACGTCCACGGCACCAACGACAGAAGGCATGACTGAACATTTTGGTTAAATAAAGTATTGAATAACACACGGAGCATGACATTGAAATCGAAACGAAAACGTGGTTGACTGTTAAACAACATCGCGCTGTATAGGCACGTTTCACTTTCCATCCGTTATAGAATAAGGACCATCGTCGAATTTGTACGGATACCGCTAACATAAATTACCGTTAGGCACATCACACTGCAGTTTGTTATTACATTGATTTCTATATAACTCTTAATTTAAACAAATTACCTACCTACCGGTAAGAGCGTTTTCCGACGGATCCGGCAAAAACGTCAATTGATCGATCTTTATAATTATTGTTTAGGCGTGGCGTTTAACGTTTTTCCGCCGACATTATTTCAGCGCAATTTTTGTTTTTTATTTTATCCGTCGGTCAATTTTCTATTTTCAACGAAACCGAATATTATTACGCAGTAATAACTGTAACGGTTTAATTCTACACGAGTGGGTACGTCATCATCGGAAATCGGTTATTATTGCTTTCGTAGAATAGAAACTATTGTTTCACGTTACCTACCGCGGTACTCGCGGACATACATATGTGTGTAAAATAATGCAATTCACAGAGCAATGTTTAAAATATGTAACTCGCGGTTGCAAAGCTAAGCGTAATCAATAATAAAATGCAAAAAAACAAAATATTCGAAATCGAAAAACGAATTCCAAAAACAAAAGATTTCCAAAAATCAAACACATAAAATTCATAGTTTTACTTAGTTTTTACGCACTATAATTTACCTGTTGTAATTTTTCAACACAAATCGTCACATGAAAATAATATAAATGTATATTTTTTGTTTCCGATTATGTAGGTACCTCGACTATGACGTGGTAAGAATGAGGAATAACGACGATATTATCGAGTACCAAAGAGCATTGAACGGGTCGTATGAACCGATTGTAATTCGACCAGAACTGATACAACAAGAAAACAAAACGGCGAAAACTTCGAACGAAGCCGAGCCTTTAAAAAGAAATAGAAGATCACTGAATCATAAAAAAGAAAAACGCTATAAAAATCGCAAGATGAGAAAAGTTAAATCGACACCGAAATCATCATCATCATAGTTTCCTCGTAATGTGTTGCGTGTCCAACTCAATACGAATAATTAAATAGTTAATTATACCTATATAGTGAGTAAATAGTAAATTTACATAACGGTCATAATTAGTATTAATAAGGAATAATAATATGTTAAATTATTATTGAAAATAACTTATTCACTATAGTGGCGTATACCTGCAGAGGTTAGGTTCGTAAATTATAAATTGTATACAATGTTGTTTTTTTTTTTTCTTTTTACCATTGTTGTCAGATCGTTTAATCGCTACTATTTCGCGGTGGAACACGTTGACGGTACTGTATCGTTTTGGAGACGGGTTATTGTTTGTATTCGCTCGTACCACCCGCGCCCTCTTACACGAGGAACGTTAGAAATGTATATAGGTACGCCGCTAGTTATTCACCGATCTGCAGAAATATTGTGTTATCCTACAATACAAAATATACATACATATACTATGCAGATTTATTATACGTAGCTGATACTTTATGCAATTTACTTCGTGTTATAGCTATTTTACCTATATTATAATTTATTAATAAATTGGAGTACGTGAAAAGCCAAATTTAATTTTAGTTAACTACGCAAAATAATTTTAAACGATTTATTTTTAATAGGAAATTATTGTTGATTTTATATTTATTTAAAGATGATTATTTAAAACGCGCAGTATTTTCAACAACGAAGTTACTATAGCGTCGTCATAATTTTATAAGTGTTCTTATAAGATTTTTAAAAAAATGCGATATTTTTTTTTCTTTTACTTAGGTATATCTTATATTAGGTACCGATTTAATTGTAAATTACAATATCGTTCATGATGTGTAATATGAATACCGTATAGATAAATTATTTTGATATCGTAAAAATACCTGTAATTAAAAAAAAAATTATGCGTTATGTCTCCATTATATGATTGTTAATTCTTTCGTCTTAACTATAAACATATTATGCATATTATGTTTTCTTAATATATTATATAATTTATTGAATTTACCTAATAATAAAAAAAAAACAACAATATTTAAACTCATCAATTTTTATTATTTACACAGATACCTATATTCTCCAAACAATCTAATCATACAGGTGCATAATATATTTTTATCATCACTCAGTGCCCTGCAGTGGTGGAACCAAGTGTGATCACGGTGAGTGATGACCCCTCTAAAATGTCTTGACACCGTGGTTGGCCCATCCTGTATGTATGTATGTACAACTGTATGTACATAATGATTGTTATTATTTTTAAAATTTAAATATTTCATAATAAAGTCTGTAAGCATGGGCGGATAGGCCTACCGGGAAGCTGGAAATTTCCCAGTGAGACCCCTATCAAACTATCAATTTATCCATGATGAAGCAAAAAAAAAAAAAAAGATTTATCAATATTTTCATGTAGGGGCTTATTTTAAAATGTCCCGGTTTGTATATATTTATTTATGATTCTAAACGTGGCTAAAAAATTTGCTCCAATACAAAAACGGCAAAGGAACTCTTTTGTAGCATTTTGCATTCAGTTGGTAAATTAAGGAATCATTTTTTGATTTTCTTTGTAGTTTTCTTAATAACAGAGAAAATTTACGTGATAATGGTTTTTGTTATTTTTAATTTTATATTGTCGTTGTAATTTAGTTGTAAAACCTTGTAAAGACCATTTTTTATTGAAAACATTTATTAGCTCTTTTTAGACGTGGAAATATTTTAAAAAACAATCTGGTGATTGTTGAGCGATTTATAGCCGTTTGAATTTGTTGATTTATTTTGTTTATCAAATATCATTTTATTGACTTCTTTAAAATGCTCGAAAATATAATATACCTACAAGGTCTATCATATATTTTTATACTATCGTAAATGGGAGAAACACTTTGTAATACCAACACATTCCTCACTTCACTCAGGATTTAAAATATATACATAGTATAAAATATATTTCTAAGTATTTAGGAAATAATATTTAAAATACTATAAGAGTATTCAAATGTATATACACACACACACACACACACATATATATATATATATATAAGTATATTTGTTTTTAATAGGTTTGGTATCTACTTTGAGTGTTGCAATAAAAAAAAAAAATAATAATAATAAAATAATAAATACATTATATTTGTCTACGTTAAATGTTTTCAAATCGAACATAATGTAAAAATTATTTTTTAAGCTATAAAAACAGTTTGAAATAAAACCGTCGTTTCATTCGAAGCGTTTTAGCGAAAGTTTAACAATATAATATTGTGTATACCTATACTTAATAGTCGCACTATAGCGTACAATTTAAAATAAGAAGGGGAAAAATAATGACTAATGTGAAATATTCCTTTCTTAACTTGCTCATCGAGTTCTAGTGAAATTTCTAGTCATCGTAAAATTGAATTAAATGTAACACGAGAACCTATTATATAGAAAACAATTTTAACCGATAGATATAGTAAAGTGTATAGCGGTATAAGTATATTGTTATTAAAATTCATACGCACCCGTACGAAACGAATAATTTTCTTTAAATTGCACGCATAATTTTAACAATTTTATAATACGGGTATATTAAATTTATTTGGAATTTGTAATATTGATCTCGGTAATATTTTAAATATGTACGATTATATAAAAATAACACCTCTGTACATTATTTCAATTAAATAGAATCATATTTTTTAATAATTTACTGATGAATCATAGGTAGCTATAAAATAAACAATACGCTATTGTTCAGATATCTCTAATCCAATCACAATAGCTACGAAATATTTAAAAATACAAAAAATTACTGTACATATGTTGGGTTGGTAGAATTTATGGTGTGATTTAATTTATATCTGTACGCAATCATAAAAAAACTTATTAAAGGCGAAAAACGATTCTGAGGTGGGATTTTGAAATGCTGTGAGTTTTGCGATTTTTATTCAAATTTGAACTATAAACATTTATAAATATTAAAAATACTGCATCACGTTTAATTTTTATTTTTTGATACTGCTTATAGTTGACTCCTGTGTTAAATTGTTGAGCATTGGTAGACCAAAAACAATTTTATTCTCAATAAAACCAAATGAAAACTAAAAGGGACGAACATACTTCGCACATGGGTGGGCCACTGTTGTAGGTGAGAAGTTGGGAAATTCGATTTAAAACTGTACGCAACGATTAACAATTACTAACGAAAAACGATTCTAAGCGGGGGTTCAGTTAATAGTGTTTCTTTGTCAACAATATTAATATGTCGCATTATGGTATAATAATTACATAATATGTATTATACAATTTTTTTTAATAATATTTGTTTGATATTGTATATATTTTCTAGGCGTTTCCTATTTTCTTTCCTAATTATGATAGGAAAACACCTCGCTCCACTCAGAATCTAAAATTCGACAATTTTAAATGCTAATAAATAGAATGAAAATCCATGATGTTTTGAAAATTATCATTCATCTAGAAAGTGCCACTATAAGTATTCGGTAAAAATTGCAAATATTATGAGTATAATTAATATCCTACCAACAACATAAAATAATAATATATATTATACACGTATTTTATTTTAGTTACATTTAAATGACCTAAATAAGACAATTTACATATTTTAAAGTGCTTCAATCGCTGTAAGTATATTGTAAGATATTGACTTAAATATGAAAATGTATTCAAATAAACTATATTATGAGTTAGCAATTATTGTTTTCCCGAAAACGAATAATAATTCTAATATTTAAAATTGTTTCATAGTAGGCATATCTAAATTATACTGGCGAATCGATAAAAGTTTAGTGATCCGAAGAAACGAGACCGTAATGCGACATTAATCATTATCGTCTGTATAAATAAACTCTCCAATCTTCTCGCTGCAGATGTTTTCTAAAATACTTAAATTACTATTGGAAAATTATTGTAATCGAAAGTAAAAAAAAAAAAAAAAAAAGTAGATTTTTATTTAATGATATTGATTAAATTGAATGAATAAAAATAATATTATATTAATTAATGTGACAGCGAACGGTAATAATAATAATATGATGCTATTATAGAATAACCATCAATTGCAATAACCAATCTGAAAATGTCCGTTGCGATGTCGAAGTTGAAATTCGAGTAAACAGTAGGAACATATACGAGTAGACACACAATGTTTGATAAATTAACCCAACGATATTATTATTTGTGTTACAGAAAAAAAAATAGTATTTTCATTTGAAAACCTTAAGTAAGTCATAAAATAGTCGAAAATAGTCGAAGTGCTATTTTTCCCACCATTTTTAGTGCTTTTTGATAATTATGTAGAGCTACAAAATACCAACTCTACTTATTGTCAATTGGCCGTTCCTATTTTAAGACGAATGTTAGTAGGTACAAAGTACAAATAGTTCAAATAGTTCGAATAAACTGCATAACCTACTTTTCGTTTCCATGTCTTTCTAAATCTACGTTCAGCTTAACTACAGATAGAATTTAAACGGAAATTACACGAAAGATTATAAGTAAAAAACTTTGTTGAATTATTTGGGATGAAAGAAGGGATATGTTTCTAAGTAAGACTATTCAGGAAAATAAATTCACGGGTGTCATTTACAGGATATTACAGCGCAAATTAGTATTGTATTATTATTATGTTTTTTAATTTAAATATTAAATCTATGCCCTTGTACCTATTTAGAAAATGATTTTCAATGAAACGTATGGTCTGAGTGTCTGATAAGAATTTGTGAAAAATTTACTGATGTCTAATATGCCTGCAAAGTACGTTCTACTAAAATAAATAATCGGTGAATATAATATTGAATCAAACGGATTATTAAAATTTAAAAAAATATATAAATATATATAACTATGTTGTGAAAACGACAAGAAATTTCAGATTTTTTCATAATTTTTCGTTAGTTTTTATAATGTATTTATTAATAATTACTCTATTATTAGGAATGCCATTGAGCATGAATAAAGCATTTCGCCAAATCCTATTGAAATGACAAAAAGCTGAGATTAACTGCACTTTAAATTTGTTTTATAAAGCAAAAATGAAAAAGGGGTTTGGAAATCCCCCATCTAACGGTTCTAACTTATGAAACACAATTTTCTAATGCTTAAAAAATGATAAACACAAAGTAAGACACCTACTTTTTTTAAAATACGTACATTTTTATTTTAAAAATTAAATTAAATCCGGTTCTTTAATTGATAATACATTTCTTTTAGATTCTAAGAGGAACAAGGAATATATTGGTTTTGCAATGCTGTTTTTTTTTTTTTTTTTTGTAAATAACTTTTCTACCAGAAACTTTTTTCTTATTTTCAAGTGCAGCACTTTTTCTTTAAAGAGGTTTATTTTTGATTTTCATAATAAATGGGAAAAACCTATGAAAAATAGGAAAATTTACGAAATATTTTATTTTAAAGTTATAAATATTACGTCCTTTCAAAATATGTATAACCGAACTCCGCTCAGAATCATTTTTCGATAATAATGATTAATCTTTACGTAAAGATATACATTCAATTTCCCTTCTACCTTCTCAATTTCTGGCCTATTGCCTACCCATCGTGCGACGTATTTCAGTTTGTTTTTTTGTTTGTTTTTTTTATCAATTTTATTGTCAACGTTACGTTTTTGAGAGTTAGGATTCTTCTTCAGTTCTTGAAATATCTACTTTTAGTCAATAACCGTGCAATAATTTTACTTCAAAATGTAATTAAAATTTATTTTTAATTATTTAACTCGTTAGGTACATAATCTTTCAGATCTTTTTGTTTTAAATGATTAACTTGAATTTCCATTCCATCTCTAGCTTTAGTTCTAGTTCTGATTAGTAGCAAGCAAAAATCTCGAATATGTGTGCTTAAGTCTAAATTAGCATTCTTGCCATTGCACTTTGTTGTTTCAAGACCAATAAACCAAACTGATGATGGCTTGCCTTGTGACATTTCAGCTGGTAGCACAAATTGATCCGGATTCAAATGAGATTTTCGCACACACGCATCTCGTTCTAAAAACACGGGCAGGAAACGCAGTTTTGATTTGACAAAACCTCTCCATTCAAATAAATCTTCGTCGCATTTTGCAAGTACAATTATGGATAAGAAATATTTATACTTTGTGAAGAATTTTGATGGTTGAAAAAATGTCGTCCAATTAAATTCTCCAGCTATAATTCCTCTTGTTATTATGTTTAAACTAGTTTTAAATTCCTTACGTACGATGTTTAATGTAGATTTAGATACATTATAAGTTGAATTTTGTTGAGGATAAACTGGAGTTATAATAGGCATAACATGAGTACTGTCCGACTTGTTTGTTTTTGAGTCCCAAACTGGATATCCAAGATCCACGCGATACAATGGTTGTAACAAAACTGGTTGACGCCAGTCCCATTTAGAAAAAATCACAAAAAAATTGCGTACCAAAGTAACGGGCGTTGAATTTGGATACAATTGACATATTCTTGCCACTAATATTGCCCAAGAAATACCTCCGAGGTATCCCAAAATACTTGAGTAAACTCTTTTACGTTTAGCCCATAATTTAATGACGATCAATGTTTTCTGGAATGTTTTTCGATTTGGAACTAATCGTAAAATCGAATTTGCGACCCGACAACCGTTTAAACTGCGTACACATTTGGCATTCAAATTTCTCAGTAAATCGTCTCGTTCCAAATTAATATTTTTGTCCACTTCTTTTAAATCCAAAGACGCAAACAACATATCAATTTCAATTCCTAGTATCACCATTTTAATCACAGGAACAAAAGCTGTTTCTATAGCTCTTACATACCGTATAGCAGGGTTTTTTTTTAATTTATTATAAAACGTTGAAAAATAATCAACTCTGGTTATATGTCTAGGAACAATGATGATTACATCAATATCATCATCTTTATGGTGTACTCCAAGACGGTACGATCCAAAAGTACAAAATAATCCTCCTACATTATATTTAATAATATTTGGTAAATCCCTTACCATACTTACTTCACGTGTCCATTCTTTAAATAAATTATTTAGCATTGTCAAAACTTTTACCCTATGTAGAGATAAATCTTCATCAATAGTAATGAGATTTTCTTTTGCCAAAACTTCATTTAATGATTTGGTTAGTTGCATTTCAATATGTGTTGGAAGATCATCAATTATTGTTGATGCCATTCCGAATATTTATGAAGACTAATAACAAATCAAAACATTCTTAACACGGTTATTATAGTAAGCAACAACTACTAGTTAAGTTCAAAGGTTAGACAATTTAAAATAAGATAATATTTATGTGTTCATATTACTGATCTATATACCCGGTTAAATAAATAAATGTATACTTCAAACTACGACAATCTTGATTCTTAGCTATAACTGAAAAAATGATTAGTTACAAAAGAACAGTACGACTTCAATAAATACACCGACGTTCTGAATTCAAAATCGTATAACAATAAGTTTAACATTCAAAAATTGAAATGTATTAAATTAATTTTAAACGTGTTGCCATAGAATTTGTATAAACTATTATTATTATTATTTATTCTATTATAATCGTCCTATAATGGCCGTCCTAAAAAAAAATAAAAACGCCGTAAATGGAAAAAAAGAAAAAAAGAAAATGAGATTATAGGTACTAGAAAAACGTGTAAAACTATAATATTAAACGTTATCCAGCGCCGAGTTCGCGGATCAGAGCTAAGCGGAAAAAAAAAAAAGAGCCCGTGTATATCGACCGGTATTTAAACGAGACGGCCAACTCCTATTTAACCTATGCAATTTCACGACCGACCCCTCTGTGTCCTAAACTAATAGACTGTTTGTTTTGAAATTTAAACGGGTTGAACAGCATGTTAAGTGGATGATACTTTTGTAAATTTAAAGTTCGGATGATTACAGAACGAATAATATGCAATAGTATCAACATAGTTTTTACTCGAAACGCTATTTTTTTCTACAAACGAAATAACGTATAGGTTAGGCACTTAATACGTAATATTGTGTGGGTGAGGCGATTGTTACCGGCGATCTTGGTCACTCTCTCGATTATTGAACACACGCAGCCCCATTACCTTCGCCCGCAATCGTTTTTCTTTTATAGAATAATAATAGTAATAATATTATTACAATAATTCTGTTATGGCACGTTTCGGATAAACGGCCAAATGGGATCTGCAAAACGGAACTAGCGGTATCTCGGCACGAGTATAAAATTATGTACGGATACAACCATATTATATACACACATTATATATAATACACTGAATAATAATTACGTTACGATATCCGGTCAGATGTAATCGGAATCGAAGAGAAAGTAAACTTTATGTAAGTTATTTAGTACAAGAGTATCTAATTGATGTATGCGTGCGACGATATCGGACGCTATAATACGTGTCACTCATTACAACTGCAGATCTAGAGAAGTACGTCATAATATTTTCATTACGTTATTATAAAGTGCATTCGCCGATGCACGCGCCGTGAGAAAACATACCTTAGGCGCGATGATGCCCGCCGTAATTGCTGTTTGGTTTTAATATTTAAACACAAAATAATGCTATAAATTATTTGCTCTTCGTCAAAATCAAATACGCGTATTTGAAAAAGACGAACGTACTTCGCACGTGGGTGGGCCACTGTCGTAGGCGAGAAGTTGAAGAGGTATAGGGGAAATTTAATGTATGTCTGTATTATTGTACGCAACGACAAACCATCGCTAGCGAAAAACGATTCTGAACGGAGACCGGTTAATAGTGGTGTTTCGTCAACAATATACATGTCACATTATGGTAAAATAATTATACGAGTATATGCATTATATATTTTCTTTGATGATATTTGTTTAACATTGTGTCTATTTTCCCGTTTTTCCTACGGTTTCCCGGTTTTTCATATTTGTTGAGGAAACTCCCTGGGAAATATATTAATTACAAAACTGTGATTTAAACAGAATATATTTGACATTTACAATAATAATTGAATTTGAATTAAAAATAAATAAATTTGAATTTTCAGTTAGCGCACATCGTTTGAGTGAACCGTAAAAGAGGTATTAAACATTACGATTGTAATCATGAGCGGTTGTGTGATAAGATAACTGCTTCGGTGTGCAATGCAGCTGCAGCTGTGTTTAGACACTCGTTACGTGTAGTGTACTAGTGTGTAGGTACAGGTATAGAATATAAATCACAGATGTTCCGCTAACAATATTTGATAAGAGAGTCCGGTGGTTCCCAAAGTGCGTAATATTCGATATAAAGGCGGTGTATAGGCAATAAACATACAAAAATGAACGATATGAAGTGACTTTGAAGGCGTTTGAAAAAATTTAAGTTGCTTCATGCATATTTGTCGCAGCAAGCCGAAAAAGTCGGATTAAAAACAGAAGGAAATTCGGGGCACCTCGTTTTCTTTCACCAAAATAAAGATAGAGAAGTGTACTTCAAGACCGTATGGTCGGCTAAGCGCATTTTGCTCCGGAACAACCACTTTTACGGCTCCATTTCCCGGGTATAAATAGTAGGAAGTAACACGTTTAAATAACACCATTTTACAAACCGATATGCCGGATATGTTCCGGGGTACATTGAACCCCAAGCAAGGTACAAAATAACGCATGAGAGCCCCTCTTTAAGCTCACAAAATATCTAAGTGAAGCCAGGCGCCGATGCGGAGAAACGATAGTCTCAAATTTTCAATAAATTCAAATTTCGGCCATGTGTTATGACAGTAGGTATCATTTTCAAACCGATATGCCGACTTGATCCGGAGCATATTGAACCCCGAGCATGGTATCAAAATAACGTACGAGAGCTCCTCTTTAAACCACCGAAATAGCTAAGTGGAGCCAGGTGGTGGATTAACATTGGTGCTATTTTTTTCGAAATTTTATTTTCAAGTGAACATTCTTCGTAATCATTATAGATTATTGAATTGTGATACTTCACATACCTACTTATATCCTGTTTGAAAATCAAAATAGCTATAAAATACGTTACGTTACGTTTTTTTTTTTGGAGAAGGTTCATCAGTTTTGATTTTTCCCCCATTAGTTATGAAGATATTTTGTAGTGTGTACCGCGTGCTGATTATTAAATCTAATTATTGTGCAAAGGGTCGAACATAAGACAACATAATAAGGAAAAATAAAGAATGTTCAGGAATCAAACGAATGTTTGAGTTGATTTCTTCGGACGAAGAAGAGGAAAAAGAACATTGGCAACCGAGGAAGAAACAAAAAGGTTTCTACTTTAAAGGTCACTTGAAAGCTGCTTCAAAACGTTTGAAAGCAGTTAAAGAAGTAGAAAAAAAAATTAAATTATTTTGTCAGTACCTTATAGTTTTATTGGAGAAATTACTGAGTTGTTAGCGCTTAGGCTTGAAAATTTAAACGGTCTATTGGATTTGAGAACTTCAAACGCCGACATTGTTAAAAAAACATAAATACTTCTCATAAAATGTAGTTGAACAATTTTGTAATTGATATAGCCACGGGAGTGTTGAGAAAAATATGCGATGAACTAACAGATCCCATTAATATAGTTTTCTGTAATATTTCGTTGTATTTGTATAACAATGGTATAAGCAGAGACAATTATAAAATAGACATATAGTTTACTTTTAATGTCGCTCAACATAATTGATAATCACCGGTTTTCATCAATTTGTCAATCAATTTTATTGTATAACGTAATAACAAATACGTATTCAAAATTATAATTCTTCCGTTTGTATTATTTATGTTATAATTAAAACCATTCAGCCCCCTAAAAGCAGCTTCGTCGGTGGTAGTTCGGTCCATAGTGAAAATATGCGCCACTGATTGTATGTACTAAATTGGACTTTTCGAATGTCGTACTGTGTTTTAAATAATTTAACGTATTTTAATACGTATTGTTTTTCCGTATTTCCAACCCTGTTTATTATTATTATTGTTTTTTGTAACCGCGTGTTCTTTATTATAGAAGGTATACAAAAATTATTAATTAAGTGGACTAGGCCTATAAGGGGACACCGCTTGTGGATAAAAAAAAAAAAAAAACTCGCCATTTGCAGTACCGCATAGTTTCCAAACTTAAGATGTTGAGGAAATCTGCAAAATGTTGATGGTCGACATGTGTGTGTATTATTAACACTAACAACACCATTGAAATGAGATAATGAGATATTAACCGCACAATTGAATGAACAAAACTGAAAAGTATAAACAATAACAAGGGAACGGATTTGTATGTTCTTAAATTCTGCAAAAAAAAAAAGTGTCAAAAAAACATTAAAAAAAATCATTCAAAAATATTTTAAAAACCAAAAATGACAGAGGGATTTCTTTTACTCGCCTATAATGGTGATTTTTAGTGGAATTTCTGAAACTTCAACGTATCAAAAAATATTTAGACTGGAAATCGAGTTTGAGAATAAAGAACGCGTTTTTATTTGATGAAAATTGATTTTATTATCATTTATGTTTATTAGAAAATGTCAACATTTTTTTTCGCGAGGCGTTTGTATTACTTATTTGAGACATTTCTTTTTACTATGCACTTTATTGTCATGGCTAAGTAGGTATCGACAAATTTTAAAAATAGTATAGCCAAATTGGGAAATTCAATAGTTAATGCTGTTTATAATTTAAAATTTTTAACGAGTATTCTCGAATACCATTGTTATTGAAGTTTTGGAACGAAGGCCATCTCTTTTGAGAATTGATTATTTCATGTTATTAATGTTCAATTAATAAAAACGATCACGGACTGTTCATAATTATTTTGCTGAATTATTAAATAATTTAATGAATGGGTATTCATCAACAATTCAATAACAGTTATTGTTTTATAGTGAAAAAAAAAAAAAATAAATAAAAAAAAGAGAGAACAATCAAATAGTGTGTAGGGGTACTTATACAAAATATTATGTACCCGTAGATACTAATCTATAGGTTATGACCATAGAAACAGTAACCTGTTTGTTCGAAAACAATGTCGATTAATTTTGTTAATTATCCAATATAAAATATTTAATTTCAAAATATCAAATAATAATTAAAAGGAGCATTGGCAATATTTGGATACAAATATTCTTCGGTGGGTGGGTATGGTAATAGTTTTTTAAACATCAGCGATGGGATTCCGAAAGTTAGACAGGCAATAAACAGACAAGTTGAACAATTTCAGACGCCGAGTGGGCAACACAGGCAACATTATTGAACGATGGCAATTTTGATAGAATTTTGAAAAATAAACGTTTTGGCGTTGGGTAGGCAACTCATTGGACGGGTAGCAGCACGATTACAGGAGTTGAATAGGCAACACTGTACACGGATTTGGGAAGCACTGGGCCTTCTTATCAAATATTGCTGGCGGAGCGTACGTTATAAATCTCTTGTCGCCGTTGTCAGTGGACGCCAGACGAATTGATTTTTCGGCGAGTGTCGGACGATGAAGGCAAACTCAAAAACGTAGTCAACAGTATTTGTAATATATTGTTCATACGCTTTTTACTAGGTAAGATAAATGATGTCATAGTTTTACACGGTTAAACTCTTGGTATTTCTTAGTTTCGAATTCCGCACAGGTGACTAATGGTTTTTTTTTTTCATTAATCGGTTTTCAATCCAGCGCTATTAACAAATATGTACAAAAAAACGTCCAATCCGCTGTATGCTAATGTGAAGCCGGACACGAAGTACAAGAACAATGAGTCAGCCGCTCAGAATGAACCTACTTATTACAATACAGTGACCAGTAAACCGGCCAAACCATCCCAGGGCATTTACAGCAATGTGAACTACAATGCAAAACCGTACAACATTTACTCCAATCTCGCTGAAACAGGAACACCTCCGGGGAAGCCGCCTTTTAAAAATACTCAGTATCCAGTTTATGACAATTTGAAACCGTTGGGTATGTTTTGTGGATTTTACATTATTTTCGTAATATTTCTTATTATTCTAATAAAATATAGAACCATCTGTAAGCGTAATAACCAGTACGGATTTTTAAGTTTTTATGTATTGTGATTGAGTATAATGCGCAGTCTTATGCGAGTAAAAAAAATGTGGACGATTCGTTCAACCCAATGTTTGTAGGAAAACGTTTTTTTTTTTAGCACATCTTGGAATATTTTGTAAACTTTACAGAAAAAATTATAATTATTAATTTTAATATTAAAGTACCTAACTGAAGTAAATATTTTTGGAATAATTCAACAACCATCATTTTTTTTTATCATTTTAATAAAGTAAAAAAAAAAAATCTCAAAATAAATCATAATAGGTATATTGATTACAGTGATTATTTTTGTATGTTTTTCTAACTTTTAAGAGAATATTAGTATCATATTTTAGATGTTTTCAGAGAATATAAATCTGGATTGTTGTAATAATACAGGCACTCTCATAACCATTCTTATAAGCACCTAAAATATTCATTAAAAATTGAAAAATACACTTTGGTATCAAAAAAAAAAATCCAGAATTCCAGAAAGATATCCAGGCGCCTTTTTAAAATATTATTAAATCAATAATTATGTGTTAAAAAGACCTATATCCCATTCAATGCATGTATACTTTGTGTACAAGGTATTATGTGTATTAGTAATTGTATTGTTTTCCTTGATAAAAATCATTAAAAACTGTTCAATGCTGTTTCTTTGCAAAACAGTTTTTTTTTCATTTCTGAAGTGTTTTAGTGGTATTCAAAACACCACCGATATGAAAAATTAAAATTTATTTAATAGATATTCACGTGTATACTACAGTGAAAATGAAGTAGGCTTGCTCAATATAAATTGGTTTAAGAGGCGTGACACACCCATAATTTGAGTGTAAAAACCTAGTTGTCGAATAACAGAATCATTTTGTTAATATTTATGGTTGATCGACAATTTTGGTTTTTTTTGTTTTAATGAGGAGAACTTTAACTGTGACTTAGTGTTTTCAATTTTTAGCCGGTACAAAAAGATTTAAAAAAAAAATAATTTTTAAAGTTTGTAAACATTTCAAGTTTTTTGTTTGTGAATATGAAATTATTGAGATAAGTTATTGGAAAATGGAAAATGATGCATCACAGACAATTTTCACCTTATAAATGTTTTATGAATAGAGATAAAACAAAATATGTTTTAAGTAACAATTACTCAATAGTAAAATAATTTTATTTAGAAATATTGAATTTTCATAATCATATTATAGGTACCTACCTACATATTAATGTGTTCTTTTTTTAAATCTTAAATGTAAATTTCACTGAAACGACAAACGTATTAAAATTTTGAAATATGTCACAAAAAAACTTTATATATTTTTTTTTTATTGGTTTGCCTAATATAAGTGTTATACTTGGGTGTTTCTAAAGCCGCGTACACATTAGTAAAAATTTACATTGTGTGTGATATGTCAAATGCGTCACAAATATTTACACGGCAAATATTTATAGACAACTTAATTGACAGCTTATTTATAAATAAATATTTACTTTGTACACTATGCCCGGGATCAACACATGTTTAATTAATCATATACCTACTAGATTTTTACCATTGGTTGATGTACATTTTATCAATATTTTATTACAAAATGAATTTGAATAAGGAAGATGTTATTCTTTTATACATCAGACACAATTTATAGTTCAGTTGTTATTTATGATTATTTTTGAAACACTAATTAATTAATTTTATAAACAAATATTAAGAAAGAATATGTTTATACTTGAATAGTATTACAATGCGAATGTATGATGTGGTGCAAAAAACCCATGGCCAATAGATTGTGTGTGTTTAATGCAGTAAAAGGTTTTTGTGTGCGCTGTTATGTGGCCAACACGTCCATAACCCAAATAAATTTTAAACTCTTGAACAAACTTGTGCCAAACGTAATGTATAAGGTAATTTTTTACTATTGTGGACGCAGCTTAAGACACCTCAAAACAAATGCTATAGCCCACAGCCCTTAATTATTATTATTGTGTCTATTTAATATAGGTAAAAATAACTTACACTGTCCTCCATCTCCCGTAAGTTCTAGTTACTCTGAACTCCAAAAAGCTGTTAGCTATGAAGATGACTCAAAAGACTTTGACAACTCCTCATCACAAGTAAGTTAATACAATAATTCAATTATTGTATGGTCATTTTTAAAATTAAAATTATATTATAATTATTACTTTTAGGCATCAAAAATGTATGAGTCAATCTATGAGCCGATCAATGCTGTTAGACCACCCAGTGAATTATCATCTACATACTCAATGAACAGTCTTTCTCAGTCTATTACTACCCGTGAACACGAAACTGAAGTTGATTCTTTAACTGATCTTCTTGTGAATTCAATGTCTGTTAATGATGCAAAGAAAAGTTTAGACAGCAATGCTACTAGTGCATTAGATTGTTAGTATTTGTTTTATAATTATTGAAACATAGGTACACAAATTGTACTATTGACAATAATATGAAATTGTATATATTTAGGGAATTGTACTAAATGCAATGAAAAGGTACAAGAAGAAGGTTTAGGATGCACAGCCATGGGAAATATTTATCATATTAAATGTTTCACCTGCACTCATTGCGGAGATCAACTAGAAGGAAAGCCATTTTATCACATTGATAATAAGCCATATTGCGAAGAAGGTTATTTGGTTGGTATAAACTTTTATAAACATTTCATTGATATTTTTGGATAAGTAGCTTATAATCCAGCTAACCTTTACTTTTAAAAATGATTGTTAATTATGTTTGTCAGAATGACAAATAAACATAATCTATTTAACCTTCCATTGGGTGCATAGCTGTCTAAACGACCAGAGGTTCTGTAAATGTATTAAATTGTAGTTTTGTTTTGTAACTCATAGTACCTTATAAAACTTAAAAGTTGAATATCTTGACAATTGGTGGACGAAAATCATCAAACATGTTCAAATTAATAATTTATTTAAACTTGAACTCCCTCTGCATAGAATTTTCGTAAAACAATGTATATCCCAATACTATACTATAGTTATACTACTTCCAAAAAAATTATAAAATTTTATCATAAAAATGGTTAGAGTTAAAACCTCCAAAGGCACAACATTAATACTAACACCATTAATTTACAAAATTGTATCTTACCAGCTTTATTAGTGTGATAGTCTTTGTTTTCAGAGAAAATTTGACAAAGAAAAACTGGACCATAAGAGATTTTATTTTAATAGTTATATGATAAATAAAAACTAAAACTAATACTATTATATTTATTGCACATTGTATACAGGATACATTAGAAAAATGCTCCGTTTGTCAAATACCTATTTTGGATAGAATCTTAAGAGCTACAGGACGCCCATATCATCCACACTGTTTCCGGTGTATTGTTTGCTCGACATTACTTGATGGTATACCATTCACTATCGATGCAGCTAATCAAATTTATTGTATTGATGACTTTCACAAGTAAGATTTCCTCTATATAATATAGCAATGATATGTATATTGTTAAAACTGATGTTACATTATATTATGATAAATAATTCATATAACAAGTTAAATTATTGAATTGAATGTAAATACAATTCAAATTTTAGAATATTGATTTCATTTATTATTATCAAAATATAGATTTGCTTCTTATATTATTATTATTCATATGTAACTTCTAATTATGTCATAAAATGCAATACATTTTTGTTGATCATATTATAACTTTATTAATAATTTAATTACTATAATTAATTTATAATATTATGACATATTTTTCATATTGATGTACATTTACGATTAATGTTCTTATTGCACTGTAATTTGTAAAAATGTGCCCTACAAAAAAAAAAAAAAAAACTATTAAAATGTTTATATTATTCTCTGTTTACAATTTTTTTGTAATTTTAAATCAATAAATTAATAAAATAAACTTTAATAAAGCCATCAATTCAATGCAACTATTAAATTATTTGAAGAAAATAAAAATTACATTATAAATAATTATTATAATTAAATAATAATATTTTATATTATCTTACTCTAGTTACACTGTATAATTAAATGTTTTGTCAAAAAAAAGCACCATTACTTGAGAAATGGCTTTAATTAAAATACTTTAAATGTGAAAAACCACTTAAAATACAATTGTATGTATGCAATCTCTAATGTTTAAAACAAATAGTACATTTTGCTATTTTTATCTGTATAATTTAATAATTACTAGGTTACAAAGGCTATAGAATCTGAGTCCAACAAAAATTAAATGAAATACCTTAAATTTCAATTACAATTATTTGCATTCATATGATATGAGAATTCAAAATATGTTGTTGAAATAGTTATACTTTTATAAAAATAAATTGGTTCTTTTAGAAAATTTGCTCCCAAATGCAGTGTTTGCCAACTTCCTATTATGCCGGAAGCTGGACAAGATGAAACCGTGAGATTTGTTGCGTTGGATCGGAGCTTCCATGTGCTATGTTACAGATGTGAAGTCAGTTTAATTGAAATTAAAACAATACTAAATTTATGATAATTATTTATTGGACACTTACCAATTTTCAAATTGTTTTGTTCTAGGATTGTGAAACATTGTTAGGATCGGAAGCTGAAGGCAGAGGATGCTATCCATTGGACGATCACGTGTTATGCAAAAGTTGCAATGCTAAGAGAGTTCAAGCCTTGACGTCTACAATGATTACTGAACTTTAAGTTGATACCATACCGGGGATCTCACAATACGTTAGTACACAAATGTCCATGGTATTTATTTTAATACAACTCTTATTATTAATGTATTTTATTTTTTATAGATTCCTATTATGAATTCAACAAACAAATCAATAAAACATTGATGCTCTATTTAGCTGTATAATTATTGATGTAAGAGTTATCAAAATATAATTTAACCATAAATTTAGTGCAAGCGTATTTTAAAATGTATAAACATTTTTGAAAACTATGATTGCTAGTTGATCAACATGAATGTATGTTAATTTATACTCATTAGTATTTAACTTAATTTAGTGTTTTATATGTTTTTTACAATTATACATAATTAAAAATATTATTTAGTATTTTAGAGATTATACTATATTTAAGTCATAATGTATTTTATAATTATTAATGGTGCTGAAATCTTTAACTACTTGGTGTTTCAAATCATATTAGTTTTGAATCTACCACTCACCTACCCAAGAGGCGGGCAAAATGGGGATGAAACCCTTTGCCCCTCCACCCACCAACACATTAATTAATAGTTTATTAACTATAAGCTCTGGTAACTATTTTTTTTTTTTTTTTTAAAATAAACCAGATGACTATAATAGTTATCTAGATATTTGTTACTTTATAAAACAATATTCAGATATTAATTTGATTATTTTGGTAAATATAATTTTATTAATGTAAGAATCTACTAAAGCAGTGGTGAATATAAGTTAACTATATTCCCACATTCAATTCAATAAATATACTTAATTAATCAGTTTTAAACGAGTAAAAACATTATTTCAATTGCTGAGACAAACTCACATATCACCTACCTTTAAATTTAAGTGGTTCATTTGAACTACCTGAAGTATGTACTCGGCACCACTGATAATTATCGTTATTTCATATGTTCAATAGGTAACCCTATTTTTATTATATACTTATACATTCCATAATAAGGTTCTAGTTATACTTTTGTATTTAAAAATTAATATTGATAACCGATAACCACATTATTTGCTGGTTCATTCCTTGTGTAGTTTTGTTTTCTTTTTTTACTAAAAATTCTATGTTAGCCATATTTATGCCAAAATTAAGATATCATTAGTTATTATTATTATTAATTAATATTTGATATTATGATTAAAAAATAAATTGTTAGTTTTTCCATTAGTTAAGTAATTTACTTATTCAAACTATAATAATATACTATGTTATTAAACACTTTGTTAGTGTGAGGTCAAATATTTAAGGAAAACAATAATTTTTAATTAAGACATCATGTCTATATATTTTCAAAATATTTATTTTAGAATATAATATATACACTTATTTAAAACCTTAACATTTACTTATTCAACCATTATACATTATAACGTATTATTATAAAACCTAGATGATAGCAATTCAGTTTGTTAACCTTACTGAGCTTCTTTGTGTGTAACGTGCTTATCAGCAACCAATATAATCTTGCTACTTTACTAATTTAAGCTCATATACAATGCATATTAATTATTAAGAATTATTTATCAAACCAATGTAGCACCAATTAAACGTTTTTTTTTTATTCAATATTTAATTGTGCATATTCCATTCGGTCAATACATTCATGTTATAAATGTTAAAATAATTACGTGACGAAAATTGCAGATGTATAGTTACTACTGTAATATTTGTTAAAACATGTAAACTGCTTAAAACAAATTATTTTAATATATTGCCAAATATTGTTTTCAGAGAAGCTCAATAAATTATAATATATTATTTATTACTCATACTAATTAATATAATATAACTATAGTAAATAATTATTGTTAATTTTATAATTCATATATTATTATACCTTAGAGAAATAAAAACATATTTATGCTTATTATATTAAGTTTCTTTTTCATTCCATTCAACACTATCTATTTTATCAATATAAAATTATTTTTAAGAGTCGCTTATATGAATTTTGATAAACACTTTTGTTTCCAAGGAAAAACATAAAATGACCTTCCCAATCCACCGTACTCTGATTTATGTAATAAAATACAAATGTTTAGATTTTGAGTGTTGAGAAGAATGTATTTGTTTTTAAAGATGTTTTTTTTTCTTTTTTATTTAGATACTGTGTATACAAATTCTACCAGAAATTTTGCTCCAAAGTATCAAGTACAGCCCTTTTTCTGAAAGGAAATTTTCTTCCTGGGGTGGTACTTTAGGGAGGTCATTTTTTAATCAGTTATTATTTATTATACGTAACTAACCAATCTATTTTAAAACATTTCCACATAATATTATTTAGAGAATTTAGAGATTAGAATCTTGGAAAGGTTGTTTATATAAAGGACTAATTAATCTTAAAAAATTATCATAAAAATAAAAATCAAAGGTTCACTAATGGCATCTAATTAAAAAAAAATAAATCAAATTTTTAATTCTGCTTTCCAATATTACGCATTTAGCAAATATTAAGCTAGCTCTGTTAGTGTTAAAGAGTTAAATTTTGACGAAAATCATAAATATTATGGCCATTTAAAACATTTATAACCAAACTCCGCTCAGAATCATTTTTCGTTAGCAATGTTTAATTGTTGCATACAGATATTTATACATTAAATTTGATTCTATATACATTACCTTCAAACTTCTCACCTACAACAGTAGTCCATCCATTGTGCAAAGTATATCCATCTTTTTATTATTACCTATAACAAATATGATTTATACTGATATTTATTTGAATTTGTATTTATGATTGAGCTTTTTTTAAATAAATTTGATCTGTTTCTCTGTCTGTCCATCAGGTACCATTAGGTACTTCATGTACATTGTTGTTTTTTTCAAAAAAAATTGAGACAGTAAACTTTTTAATCTACCTTGACCAATAGTTGAATTTAAACAGTTTTTAACAAATTTAATTATACAAATAAATGTTCATTTCGAATTTAAGTAGTTTATAATGTGCATATTGATTTGGAATAAGTAACAGGAATTAAGTTATGAAATACTGAGACTAACTTAAATTAGTTCAAAAGTTCAAATATTTGTAAAGAATATACTCTTTTTTTTTTTTCAGTTACTGCCTACCTGTGTAATTTGTCTTTTTAATACTTTTCGATATTAATTTTGGAACCATCCTTCACTCGTTTTTTCATCAACGAACCGTCATCATGTAATAATTTTTTTTAATATACCTTATTAAAATTTTTTAAAACTTGTAGAAAAATTTCTTTATTCAATTCTAATCGCATCTTTGATTATTTCAGAAATCCAAGTTTTAATGAAATCAAATATTTCTTTTACACTTTACCTCTATAGTTTATTTTTAACAACCTCTCATAAAATAAAAACACTAAATATTTATCATTTAATTAGTACATTTAAACTTCAACAAAATGTTGAAGCTTTGATTTTGTCCACACATATAATAATAAACATTTGTTCTAAAGTATCTACCTATAGTCCACTGCTGTATTATACGTAATTACACCAGTTACATTCTCATCATTCCCGTGCCTTGTCTTTATGTTAAGAAATTCTGTTTAATTGAATTCATTTTTAATTAAAAATGCTTTTGATTTTTGTAAAATAGTGTCAATTAACTTTTGTGTTTCAATTTTAACACTTGATCTTTGTTCAGTAATGCTAATACCGCTGTTCATGCTTGAATGTTTTGGTATTCTATAAATAGAGCAGTACCTACCTAGATAGGTACACCTTACGAGCTCTCATAAACCCTGTGTTTCTCTACAGCTATCACACATAACAACGACTAAATACAGTACGTCTTTAAAAAAAAAAAAAAATAAAAGTACCATACATAAATTGCTCTTAGATTGGTTCTTGTAACAATCTGTGAGCATCAGAATACCTACTAATCACCCTGCATTTCACATGCACCATCATAATGAAATTTGATTTCCAATTTAAACCATGACAGTAACAATCATCTGTCCCATAGTCAAGAAGGGTGACCCCAATGGTGGATTTAGTTCTTTGTCTAGGGGGGGGGGGATATTTTTAATGCTGGTATAGGTATGTACGATTCCGTACAATTTCACTAAGGATGTATCTACCACCGAGAAATCAATTTATTTTGTCTAACATTTTATAAGGAAGTTTATCGATTATTTTTTTTTTTTTCGGAAGATGATGAACGAGTAACGACTTAGATGGACTGAAAACTTAATGAGTTGTAAAAAGTTTCCTCGATTCAACGAAGTAAATAATACTTTCATCATGTCCTCGAAATAGAACGTTTTATCTTACAAGATAGGTAAATAATTATTTAAATTTTAACTTTTACTGTTTCTTTATTCTTGGTTACTTTTGTATTTGAAGTTAGTCTAATATCATTTTTATCCACTCAATAGTTCTTAACGTACCTACCCACATAAAATGTTTTATTATAGAGTTTAAATATCTATAGACGATTCGTGTTCTTTAATGCCAATTGAATCGTGATGCCAATAATTTGTCCTCTCTTTAGACATTGAGTTGGTTTTTCTGTAGCTGTTCCAAATAATTTAAGCATAATACAAAAAACTCTGTCCATTAAAGACAGGAGACTCAAGTTCTTTTTGGCGGAACCTTTTTCGTCCAAAAATCCCTATTCTCTCTTTTCACCCAGGTTCTCTTTTTGCCAAAGTATGATAAATTTGTTTTCTCTTTTCACCCAAATTAAATATACTCTTCTCATCTGTTGTTTCACGTTCAACATTTTGGGAATCATTTATATTATTTCGTACAAAATATTTGAATAAAGCTATTTAACATTACCCAGAGAGCATCGCAAAGAGTTCGGCTTTTTTTACTCTCCTAAAGTTGTTGTGTTTTAAATGTCAAATGATAGGTATTTATTATTTTGTCGTTTTTTTATGGAAGTCGTTAAAAAAAATATGTTCAGTTGTAATTGTATTGTATTAATGTATTTATATATGCATAATGCATATACTCGTAGTGTTGTTTGACATTGATTTAATAAATTCAGATCGAGTCATTTGTCTATTTTTGTATAGTTTAATGTTTTCTCTATTTTTTTAATTGTTTTTCTTGAGGACATTTTTAGATTCTGAGTGGAGCGAGGAATGTATTGGTTTTACGACGATGTTTTATTTTTTTTTCTGTGAACAACTTTTCTTTTAGCAATTTTGATCCGATTTACAATGATAGTACTTTTTCTGAAAGGAAATCTGACTGGGGTGGTACTTTATGGAGGTCATTTTTTGATTTTTCTAGGAGTTTTCCTAATAAATGGGAAAACCCGGAAAATATAGGAAGAAACGGGAAAATAGGTACAATATTAAATAAATATTAAAAAAAAAATATATAATTCATATGTAATTATTTTACCTCGATATGATATATATATAGTTGACAAAGCAACACTATCAACCGAACCCGCTTAGAATCGTTTTTTTGTTAATCTTTGTTTACAGATATACATTAAGTTACTTACAACAGTAGCTGCACCCGTTACCATTATCCTAGGACAGCATTTTTAAGTTAATACTATTTAATTTAATATATTAGTGTGAATTTTTTTAACTATGGTCAATCGTATAGGTTAACCTATTAGGGGAGAACTACAATAAAAGCCTTTTTTTAAAAAAAATGCACGGAATGACTTGCACGCATTTGTTGTCCTAGTTAATTCTGAAGAGTTAGTTTCCCATATCTATGGCGGGAATAAACTATCATTGAAAATATAGCTATCAGTTAAATACGAGTAGTTACAGTATTTTGTTAATTTATCATTTTGAGGACAGTCAGATAACAAATCCACAACAAAACAATCGTCAACCTCTTTAGGATTAAAAAAATAGTAAGCCAAAAGTGTAGTGTATCCACTTACCAATGTAGTAGCCTGGCCAAATTTGTGCACATTTCTCGACCGCGATTGAGTCAAATGAAACCGGTATCAAATTATAAGTGTATTCGGACAAATATGTATTATCGCTGTTTTAAAATCAACCGTACATTTTAACGGCGATAAAATTAATCCAAGTATATTACATTTTTCAATAATTACTATTTTAAATAGGTACGAATTCGTAGGTTTCGATCGATTTATCCACCAATAAACAAAAAAACTTTTGAAACTCTCTCGAAAAAAAAAAAACATTTAATTTTTAAAATATCTATTTTAATAAAATAATTAATTAAAATATTTCTGAAATAAAAAAAATAAAAAATGAAAAAAAAAAAAAACGCACAATAAACTAATTTGACAAAAAGCGAAGAAACGAGACTCGCACCAGTTGCACCGAATGACTAATCTCTCATACGTTGTTATTTTGCACCAACAGAATGACGATAACAATACGTTTTTTTAGAAAACAAATATCTATAATATTTATAAGCACATAATCAATAAAATCACATAATTATACCCAATCGTGGATATTCTGTTGATTTTACAAATCAATGTTGTTACAACGTACATACCAAAACCCGACTGTAAACATAAATAAACTAAAATATATACACCATTATAATAAATCTCCGGGCAATGTTAAACGGCTTTAAAAAAACATTTTGTATGGGTACGAATAGTGAAAAATATATAAAATAAGTGCATAATGCAAATAGTTTTGATAAATGTTGAACGTAAAACCGCGGGCGAAAAGAGTATAGGTGTACTCGTATATTATAATTTGGGCGAGAAGAGAAAGCACATTTATCACATTTGAGCGAAAAGAGAGAAATCAGTTTTGGACGAAAGGAGATCCGCCCGTTCTTTTAACAGTTAGGCGGGTAACTGATCAGGTACCTAGCATTTTGTGACACGAAATGATTGGAGAATATTGTTTCTATGTTATTATTACATTGGGCATGATAATAATAAATTGATATGAGACGGTTAATGTC